CCCCAAAACCCCAAAACCCCAAAACCCCAAAACCCCATGGCAATGGATATTTAGTAAGTACATAAAAGGTAATAAATCATTATTTTCGTGTAAAATCAAATTAAATAAATACACTAAACCTTATTTAGAATGATTCCTCAAGCTACTTTTCTAAATACCTAGCTACCTAGAGCCTATAATTTCATACCAAACTAGCAATTCGTTCAACAGGTGCCCTAGTTTTAGCTCTAGAATTTCTATATGAATCCTGTTCCTTGCTAAAGTTTTAATACCAATCAGAATTAGTAAATGATGGGATTCTAATCTTAAAATTAGATCGATCAAATACAAACACATTAGCAACTGCCATGCTATTAAATCAAGAAAATTACCTATGTTAAGCAAGTAAAAGAAGTGTCCACTCAAACTATCTCTAGTCCAGCTGGTTGTTCTTGCATAAATTTCAAATCTTTGGATCACCATTAAATGATCTCACATCAACAGATCAACCATTGTGAAACAGAGCGATCAAGCAAGTGTAGAGATAATTCAAAAACATATTAATATTAATCAGAAGATCTCAAATCCTAACAAACAATCTAAGTAAAAGATTAATTGTAAGAAGAGGATATAAAATAGAGATTGAACTTAGATTAAAAGGCAAAAATCATATTCCAAAGAGGTCCAGATATTGATGTCATGTAAATTCCACAGTATACTTTTGTGCCCTCTTTAAAGACTTTTATTTATGTAAAAGTCTATAAACCAGAATCTAAACGCTGGTCTTCTCTGTTTATGTGTGAATTTAAAGAATGCAAAATGAATTTCAGAAAATGGAATAATCTATATGATCATCTGAGGTCTCACTGCGATGAGCGGCCTTATGAGTGTCCAGTTGAAAGTTGCGGCAAGTAGTTTACTCAAAAAAGTAATTTAGAAAAACATTTGAGAATACATAAAAACAAATCCTATCTGAAGTGCTCAGTTTGTAAGAGATTTTTCACGAAATTTAGAATTATCAAGCATTTTTTAATGAATCACAATTAAGAAGATAATTCGGGAGAATTTTCATTTCAAAATGCTCTTGAAACAAATAAAGAAGTCTTATAAATTAAAGAAGATGTCCTTGATGTGTAACAGATTCAATTTGCTTAGAATGAATGAGGTGCAGAATAAATATAAAAATATATATTCATAACACAATTAAATGTCAAAAGTAAGCTACAAGGTTTAGTACACTAATTTTGATTTCATGCTTTTATCTATATTAATCCTATGTAATTAAGCTAGCTGGGGTTTTGGGGTTTTGGGG